TACTGTATGTGATTTGGGAGGTCAAACTATGTTGCAGGAGAGACGGGAAGAATGTACGAAGCTAATGTTGATGATGTAGGTTACAGGTTAGTGGTAATCTACACTCCTGTAAGGGACGATGGAGTTGAGGGGCAACCGGTGTCTGCATCTACTGATCCTATTGCAGTTGGTAAACAAATCAAAATCCCTAACTTATTTGTTTGCACCTTTTCTGTCTAACTGAAATGAGTATTGCTGAAAATGATCTTTTACCTCTTTGAGTTTTCCGGATCTTCTTGGGCTATTCTTCCTTTTCAAAGTCTTCAATTGTATGCATATGTTTTTGTGATGGTATTACCATGATTTTTCTTCATTCGGATGTCCTAATCGCTAGATTATAGCTGACTGAGTTTGTAATTTGTGGCATATGAATGTAAAGGTTTGAATACATACAGTTCAGTAACTATTATAATTGAGCTTATGACTAAGAAAGGAAACTACTTAAATGAGATAAAACATGACAGTGACTCTAAAAAGCTATTAAAGTCATATTAGGGAGATATGAAGATAGACACCATTCCTCACTTTGCTGTTGAGATTATTACCTAGGAAGCAAGAAAGATTATAGAGTGTGGTGTATTAGTTTGTCTATGTGGAAACAAAGAACATGGATTTTAAATCGTTGCTTCAGGGCATGGAACAGGGAAAAATGAAAAAAGAAAATTTATCCAAGGAAGATTATGGCTAATGCAGGGATGTTTTGAGTTATGGCAAGTGGCGGCTAAGTTATAATATTTCCTTCATTGGAGTTAGTTGTATATGGTTGGATCATCTGCACTTTAATTGTTTTCCTTTCTCGAGTGATCTATCAAAAGTAACTAAATTCTCCTACTTACTTATGTCCTTTTAATCACAGTCTATGTCACTATATAAAACCATTGGATTACCATTTGACAAAATTTAGATAGCGTTACTGATTTTCCCCTCATAGAACCAAAGATGAAAGAACATAGTTGAATTTGAGTATCATGTTCCCCTCATATAACGTCTGAACTTCTCTATGGACCTAGCTAGTGAAGATATAAAGACATATGGCATACCAAATGCATGTTTAATAAAGAATTATATTCCTTGTTTAGTAAATTAGAATTGGGTGGCCAAAAAACCTTGACTTCTAAAAAGCTTTATTTGAAAGCTCACTAATAATAACACTTTGAGACACTACACATACTGTATACGAAGTGATGTGACAAGCTATAATCGAGCCTTTGAGCAGGTGATCCGTTTTTAACATCCGATAAAATCTGCCACATCACTTAGCACATTAGTTCATGAGACTGGTCTTAGTATGTCTATCATTACTCTTGCACTTTTACAAAGGTAATGTGCCTACAAGATGAGGCCCAGGTCCCCTCACATCCGTCCTTGTCTCCTTTTGGCTTGTTGCCATTTGGTTTCTGTCTTTAAGAATATCTTCAAAAGTTATTATCTATCTGGTTTACAAATTGATACTGAATTTTCCATATCTTTTGTATTGCAGAGCCTGATGTCCTTAAAGAAGTTAAGCAGAAGCTTGATCTTGGATCAGTGAAATTTGAGGTGATGCTTGTAGCTTTATGATGATTCATGACTTGTAAACTTACCTCAGTCCTACTGGGGTAAATGCTCATTGGTCCTTTTGTATTGAAAACATCATCCTAGTCCCAGATTCTAGGTACTGTTCATTTTGGCTACGGGGCATTGATGAGCAACAGTTCTTTCTTAGAACTTAGTTCACTGATGGAATTCATTTAGCAAATTGAGAATCATGTCTATCTAACTCAAAAGCATAACTTCTACTAAAAAGAGTAACTAATTATAATTCGTTAATGTTCTGCAACATTTTGCCTCAATCTTGTAGTTCGTGTAAGTCTGATGGTATGGCAAAAGGTTATCATGATTTGTAACTTGGATGTCACCGAGATTTTTCGTAGTAGCTTTTTAAGTAGCATATTAAGTATCAGTTTGGCGCTTGAAAATACTATCTATATGAGGATAACATCATACTTCTATTGTGTACCATATGTTCTCTTATTTTCATCTCTTTCCTCTTATTTCAAATTTCAGTGTGATAAATTTGTTTTTAGTGCTTAATTTGACAACAGCATGCATCTTTTTTAAGTATGGCCATGTTAAATGTGTTTGGGGACAAGCTGATACCCATCCAAAGTGAAACAACATAGAACCCTGCCGTTTCTCTCCCTGTTTTCTCTTGATAATTGAACTGTCATTTTGCACTTTATCTTGGTGATATAACACTAAGCTCTTTGCAAGCAGGTTCTCTGCGACAAGGACCGAAACCCGAAAAAGGTTATCATATTTGCTTTTATGTGATGTCTCTCATGGGAAAGAGATTTTTCAAGCTAGACGCTTATTTGATTGTCGGTTACAGGTTCCTGGTGAGGGAAATCTTGAGAGAAGAATACTGGAGATCAATAGAAAAAGAGTCAAAGTTGTTAAGCCTGGTTCAAAGACTTCTTTTCCAACCACAGAAATTCGTGGAAGCTATGCTCCTCCTTTCCACGTAAGTCTCAGTGTGTGAATGCTAGTATGGAGTAACAGCATATATTCGCATCAGAACTGGCCCATAAATCTCATCACATAATTCCTTCCACCCACCAGCTTGTGACCCTTCACTCACTAATGAATTGATAATTTCAGTTTGCGATTTGCTGGGAGTACCATTTTAATGATTTCTGTTCACTATTGGTCTGAGATGCTTATGATAAATAAGTTATATGGCGCTTGAAATTTGCTTGGAAATGTAATAGTGGAATATGTAAACATGTGTAGTTCTGACTCCCCTGACCAGGCTAATCCAGCTATAAAAAATGTTTTAGGTGGTGTCCTAACGTCGTATTCAACACAATTTGTCTTGTGAAACAAGTGAAGTGCCCATACTTTGCTGTGGTTCCTGTCTTTCTTTAAGCAGCCGCACCAGACTGACCTATTTTGTGAAATCTTGTTTCTTTCCGTAAAACAAGGTAAAAGCCCTATGCGGACTATATAGTCATCCAAACAGTAGAGACCAACAGAGTATGATCCAAATCATATTACTGTCATATGATAGATAGATACCATCTCTAGATTCTCTAATACTTTAGATTAAGAAATAGTTTCGAGTTCATTAAAAAATATTAAAGACCCGTCACATCGCTTTCCCTCCTCACATGCATGTTAGATTTCTCAATGCTTCTGCTTGTATAACTAAGGGCATCATTTTCTGTGACAGGTGGAGCTTTTCCGCAGTGACCAACATAGTCTTAGGATCGTAGTTGATAGTGAGCATGAAGTAGATTTGATGGTGCAGTCCAGACACTTGCGAGATATAGTAGTCCTTGTCATCCGGGGTCTTGCGCAGCGTTTCAACAGTACATCTCTCAACTCCCTACTCAAAATAGAAACATGAGTGTAAGGGACGACTGTATAGTGTTCATTGCTTTGGTGTGACATCTAGCTGGACTTTAGAAATTGTCAGGTTACTTGCAAAACTGTCTTGCTCGAGTGAAAATTCTTCTTCTCATGTCCTACCATTTTCTTGGCATCGCCGTTTGAGTCTATAATTAGTGTTAGTAGTCTTGCACTGACTAAAGAGTGAGGGTCTCCCTGTTGTATATTTGGTGACAGTGATCACATATTAAAAGTTATTTGCTGAACGTCGGTGTGTATCTTTCCAACAAGATTCACAGTAATAGTTATTTGCTGATTTCTATCATTGTGTGGACAACTGCTTCCATTTTGCTTCTGCAATCTGCATCGGGAGATATCATTGGAATTTGATTTGTTTTGTGGTTTTGAGTATGACTCGGCAAAGATAAAACCAAATCTTGAGAACTCGGCCGAACCCACTCAGGGAAAGTGTACCGGCGGACTTTACTTAATTTTGACAAAAGTAAAATAAGATCACTCCCATATGGCTCCAAAACTTTCGGCTTGGGTCGGGTCAACTAGTTTCGAAATGAGACGAAGTGATTTGGTTCTCCTTTTTCTTGGGTCACAAGTTTAACGATGGAAATTACACTATGGAGTCTTGTTAGTCAAGACATGATCATATGAGCTGTCTAGAGGGAATCACGTGATTTTTCTTAAGTTCCGGTATTGAATTTATAATTGATGAGAACAATGCAATCGCAAAAGGAAACAACTAGAATGTTTTTGCTTTTAAAATTAGTTTGCATGATTCAAACATGAATGATTTCAGCTTCAAATATTCTGCAGATCATAGCAACAGTGGATTTCTATTTAACAATTAAGATGGAGAGTAAGAAATTTCAGAAAGTTTTGAGGTGTTTAGGAACTTCAGATTATAGAAATTTATCTACTTATGTTAAACAAGATTAGTCGATGTGTAAAAAAAATTAGTGAAGTAGGATGATAAAGATTCATATCTAAGAAATCCTCGAGCCTTTTGTTTATTATAAATAATAAGCTCGAACCCTGCTCTTAGAATATGAACCCATTTTTCACTGAACATGTATAAACATCAACATTTCGGCTAAGCAGAGAGATGGCTGTATTTTCCAAACTTCCTTGTTTCTAATTGGCGAATTACAATATGGACATCACCCGAATGTAAAAACAAGTACAAATTGGTACGAGCGCAATAGATGTATGTGCTTGCAAATCAAATCGGAGGATTGAGTTTTTGACATAATCTTCATTGAGATGTAAGGGCTGTACATCATGAAAGGTCACACGGGTGTGATTAGGGATTGTGTTTCCTCTTTTGACTCCTTGCTGGAATTTTGCTGCGCTCCCAACATCGACGTGGTGTGCATAATGCAAAGGTGCTTTGAGCATCGGATACAGCTCATATGATAGTGCCACGGGTTGATACTTGAAATTGAGACGGTTCGCCTAAGCTATAAGCCTTTGGTTCGTTGGGTCGCCTAAGCTATAATCCTTTTTCCCATGGATCAATCGCTCGCTTGCTCACTAACTCACCCGGATCGTAGAGAGAGAAAGTATTTAGAGAGAGAAGCTTTGTGAGAGAATAACTTGTATTATTCAAGGTTGGATGATATAAATGAGGGGTAGAACATTCCTATTTATACATGAGGCCTTCCACTTACTACTGTTGATCATCCCTTGATCAAACGGTGGAGATCCACTCTCCTCAACTACCGTCTACTCTGTTAAATTCAAGATTGCTATCTACACCATTAAATACAAGAAATATCTTGAATACATATATACATTTCCCATACCGTCCTTAAGAGTAATTTAAGATTCTAATGAAAACCTTGGAGCCCAAGACACTTCAAGTCTTGCCGATCATTTCGACCATCTCTTCTGTCGCTCGGGTCTTGAAACCTCCGGTCCGTCACAATAGCACATGTGAAGAAACAAGCAAATCATTACAGGTGGGAGCTTTTAGTTAAAATTCAGATGCATAGTTAGTTGGAATGCATATCAAGCTGACATTGCGGTTGATTAGTTCCACTTCGTCAATCGTGTAATATGTGTGCAAGATATGATAGACCCACATAATTTTTTTTTTCATGTTTGTCGATATATAAGCTTCATTTCGTTGTTCAAAACAAATGCGATGCAAGTGGACTACATCTCAGCACAACCCCATACCAGGGAGTGCAAATAAAAGGGCTACATGATCTCATATGCGTTTCTCCGATTTATGATTTTTTTGCCATTTCGGCTGTATGATCGCCGAATCCGTTACCCAGTATTTGGAATCGAATTTGCAGCAACATCATAAAAATAACTAGAGAAAAAGATCAAAGAAATCGATTGTTTATTGCGCACGTACAGTCAAAGAGTAGTCAGGACTTGCCAAAGTAGGTGATGTCTTCAATTTTTTAGCATGATGGAAGCCAAGATTCTCTTCTTGTAGACTAGTTTAAAAAAATCATTGTTATTGAAGAAGAAATGGTGGAAAAACAGTGAGCGGTCGGTGAAATTTCCCATGAATCAGAGAGACGGGATGGGGAAAAGCAGATGATGAACAGTTGAAGTTTGAGATGGATGAAAGTCACGTGCACACACGAACACACAGCAAATATACAACTGTTTTGCAGACAATGCTCGACAAGTTCAAGGGCAGATCACCTCCTCAAGTCCTCGACAAGCGGACGTCGCGACTTGATGGCCGAAGCGAGGCTTCCCATGCAAAGCATCGTGCCCTAATGAGCATCCCATTTTTGATTTCCGACGACGTTAGGGAAACACCGCCATGTCATGATAAAATGGAATACTCATTTGAGCAAGAGGCCTTCCACCGGAAGAAGGGACGAGAACGGCACCACCATGAAAAGCAAACGAGAAGACATCACGGTGCCGACGACGAGAATGATTTGTACATGGGCCTCTTCGGCATTTATAAGCGTGGATCTCTCATCTGCCGTTGGAACAAAACCAGAACGTTTGAGAGGTGGTTGCAGCAGCCTAATCTTCCTCTGGTGCAAAATGGGATGGTTGAAAGTATAGTAAGCCAAGCCACTCCCCTAAGTTATTCTCCTATCTAAAACCAAGTGAAAAGTAGTGTGCATGTGGGTGCTGGGTTTGGCTGTTAGCTGAAGTCTCCGAGTCCTGTTCAAAGTCCTCGTCGTCCATTCTTCGCCATGCATGCATATGCGGTACGTTCACCGGCTACTTCACATTAGCGTACTTCCCTTGTATGCCTGTACTATGCCCTCATGTACTGAGGTACTCAGCTCTAGCCACATTGTACTTCTTTATTTAAAGGTTTACCATAGTTTTGGAAGCAATAATTCTTTACATTTAGCTACCAGAGCACTCTCTCCCTTTCTCTCTCTGTCTCTCTCTTCAATATATGATCTTCAATCGCCTCGCGGTGTATCGTGTGGCGGCGCTTCAATCAGGGGGACGGGATGGAAAACATACGAACGGCTAAAAAGGAAGTGCATGGCTTGTTCTCATTCTCTGTCCATCTTTTTCAGTTCCATTAGCGACACGAATCCGAGCGATAACTTCAGCTAATCTAGTACGTTTACCAATACGCATTCGCGCCATTTACAATACGTAGATCCCATTAAGATCTCCTGTGGGTCTCGCTCAATTTTCCGAACGGTTCCTTCCTTCCTTCTGCACAAGACTTTCTGTTCTTCCGGGGGCGCCGGAAGCCAAGCGCCGAGAACGAATTCCATCATTTCGCCTGTACCTAAAGGAGCTGTGTCTTTGGGAGACTTTTTGTTTGCCTTTTGATTGGTGGCTCTTCTGCTGACTTTGATTGGTCGTTGCCCTGCTTTCATATTCTTTCATTTCTGATGGTGACGTACGGTGGTGATACATATGACCCGAGGGAATGTCGGATGTTCTTTTGTCGGCACTGTGGAGATTGGCATTATCTTTGAAACCTATTTTGTTTGTTTGTTATGGTGAGGGGTGCATGCTTTTGTCGGAGAGATGTATTCATGATTATATATTTTGAAGTCATGTCACAAGGTATTAATGTCTCGTCAATCTTAGCTACCGACACGAATTTGATCTAGTTTGCTAAAAGGAGAAGATGGATTTAGGTCAAAGTTCTCTTAACGAGTGCTTGTCAAGTAACTGATTAAGCATACTAAATGAGATTCTCGTTGGCCTTTCGGTCGAACCAAAATTACAGCCCATCAGTCTGCCCATCAATAAAAAGTACATTTGATGAGTTGCGGGCCAGGTGAGTCTAGCTCGGGTGCAGGCCTGCCCAAAGATGCCTTTGGTCGCTTGTGGGTCCTGAACCACTAGACCCATGATTAGATTTGGTTGTGTCCCTCCTAAAATGAAAAATCATACCGGTTCCTTTTTGTCCAATTCAGCTTATCGGGCGGTTTGTGAATTCGACATTGCCTTTATATGGCGGTGTGTATGCAGGTCATATCACATGGGGTCATGTTGGCAGAGCAAATTTGTTCAATTCCATCACAAAAGTCACGAAGCCTATGAACTATGCATGCTTTAATGCGTATATTCCGTTCTCCTTTTTCCCTTACGCAAGCTTAGGCATCTTACCCACATGACCACATGTGGCCTCTATATTTGGTCAAATCTTTTGGTGCCAGATCCAATCAAAAGATGGTGTTTTGACTTAGCACGTTCCATTTGTTAACACTATCGCAATTCGAAGCAAATATTAAAACGTGTGGTCCAGGCGGTTGACTGCATCATCTCCTCATCCGTCTGCAAAATCTCTCCTACAATAGTAGTATACATCACCCACCCACCAAAAGCTGTCCATACTATATATGGCTTAGTCTCGGTCCAACCACCCATCTTAAAGAGGATCCCCCTTGATCCAAATTTGACTATTGTTATCACCCTTTTGCTCCTTTAGATGGATCGAATAATTATTAAAGGGAATGTCCTAATGTTTGTGCAGATACATCAATCTGCATATTCACTTATGAAAGCCTCTAATGAGTTTTGTTTGCTAGATTTCAACTCGCATCTCCGACCCATAATCCTCTTCCACCTATTTACCAAATCGCTTCTCCGACCCATAGTCCTCGTGCAAAAGGTTTAGGATTGAATTGGCACAAATGCAAAAGGTTTAGAACTCAATTGGCACCAAAAAAAGGTTTAGGACTCAATTGACACTAATGCAAAAGGTTTATGACTGAATTGGCACCAATGCAAAAGGTTTATGACTTAATTGGCACCAAAAAAAGGTTTATGACTAAATTGGCACAAATGTAAAAGGTTTAGGACTAAATTTGCACCAAAAAAAGATTTAGGACTAAATTGACACAAATACAAAAGATTTAGGACTTTTTTGACACTTTTCCCCGTGCAACACCCTTTCACCCCTTATCGTGCAAATTGATATGTTTGTAAAAATCTGAGGATGCTTACTTTATGGAAAAGTCATGGTCACCCTAAGTTTTAGCACGTCAAAAAGTTTTCAGACAAAATGAAAGTCAACTATTCATATTCGGAACTCTCACTTCGGGAAACAGGCTGAGTCTTTTTGTTTTATACACTAAATTAGAAAATAGGGAGACAATTTTTGTCGAATTGTCATAAGCATGTTCATACTCTGTGCTTACAGAAAATGTCATAATTTTCATTATATATGTCAGTAATAAAAGTATAATCGCTTTGTGTGCAGGTGAAAAATTGATATTTAAATTTTTTTTTGCTTGATGAGATTGTTTATAAAATAGAAAAGATTCAAATTTTAAAACTGGAATACATAAAAGATAGAATGGAAGGATTAATTTAAACATTTGTCCAATGATACGATATTTATAAAATAGCTAATTGATGATATTTTGGGGAAGAAAAAAAAGATTGAGATGGGTTAAATTAACTTACGATGGAAACATGTTAATTCGTATCAATTCTTGTTGTATACGGAGTTAAAAGCATTATTATGTCACGTCATATTCCGGCTTTTTTCGTAATCATATTTTTTTTTGTATTACATAAACGGGACGTTTTCAATATTGTCAGCCAAAAAGAAAAAAAAGCAAATGAGGTTAAAGTATTTCCTGTGAATCGTGTTCTCGTTCACCTTAACCTATAATAACAAGTTGCCTTTTTTTAAAAGCTGTCTTCTTTTTTATTCTCTGTTTATTTTTTAATGCTTTGCCATAATAAACGGCAAGGATCTTTTACACGATTATCCAAACGAAAAATATATGAATCTAAATTTTTTAGAATAGTTTAATTTTATTTTGGACATATAATACATTAGCAAGTTGTTTGTTTTACGTGTGCAAAATTTTATGAATGTAAGCAGATGCTAAAATTTAAAATGAAATACAACACGTGTGTATGAAAAACTATTAAAAGTGAAACCTTTATATTGTCAACATAACCAAAAAAAAAAAGATAACACAAAAAAAAATCATCTTTAAAACTATACTATTTGCAAGTGTAATACCGTAAAATTATAATTAAAGTTGAACATTTATGATGGTTCGCACTCGAGGTGATATCATAACTTCTACAAAACGTCGTGCAACATTAAAAATTTAGATATTTAAATATTCATAACATTTAATACTAGATTACAGCAACAAGTCATTTGTCTTTGTAAAACATTGAAATTCAAAAATTAAAATAATAAATAGCAAGACATTTTTATATTATATTACGACAAAATTTCGTGACCCTTTGTAGTATTTCGCGAGATTTATTACTAACCTAAATATACCTTGTTCTCAGTAAATGCAAGTCGTTCTTAGTACATGAAAGTTGTTTTCGGTGAATGAAAGTTCTTGGTAAAAAGCTAGTGTTTACGAGTTACATATGTAATTTATTATCCATCTTTATTTCTTAAAAATTTACATATGTAATTCTACCTTTTTAGAAAAACTTACATTATTGACTTTTTGTTCGGTTTCTTAGTTTTCTTGATATTATTTTTCCTTTTCAATTAAAATTTCTACTGCAATACAAGTAACATTTACTGTGTAATACATATTCGCACAAGCATAAAATTTTTTCGCTATAAGAATATGTGACCTGTTTAGTAGGTGAAGAAATTTACCGTTTTAAATTAATTTTTCGTTCTATCATGGTCAGCTTAGAAGCCTTCTTTGTAACTTCGGAGGTACATTTCTGTCTGATTTTTCGATCTATTGATGATGCATATCATTTTACATAGAGCGTAGAAATTTTTTAAAAACAAAATGCCCATTAATAAAAAACTTTTATGGAAACTAGTTTGATAGCCTATGGCCTAATTCCCTAAAAGAAAATCTCGACTTTAAGTCCAATCCCAATTGTGCCTCGAACTTTTAGTTTTGTCGAAAAAAAAAATCACAACTTTCACTCTAGTCCCAAATTTGCCGAGTGTCCAAAAATCACCACTAATTTCGTCAAAATTATTAACATCGGAAGGCTGCTGTTGTTCCATACAAAAGTGTGTGTTGATGAAGATATGAGTTTTGATGATGAACCTCTAACTAGCCTCGATGTTTATAATCTTGAAGAAATCAATGACGATTTTTGGTCGTATGGGCAGATTTGGAACTAGAGTGAAAGTTGAATTTTTTTAGACGAAAAAAGTGTTAGGTAGAATTGGAATTTGAGCCCAATAGTCCATGCAAACGCTATTAATTAAGTTATCATCAAATATTATAAAAAAAAGGCAAAATCATAGTTTTAATAGATAAATAGCTAACTTAATCCTGCAATAATCTTAACTTTTTAATCTCATTTTTTTTTCATGCAAACCCATAAAAGACACCAATTCTCATCTTTTGTTCAATTATTGTCACCCTAAACTTTTAAATCCTAAACCCTACACCCTATAAAGGTCTATGCACTAGTTTATTTTAATGCCTAGAAATTTAGTGTCAACCTCCTCATATTGTAAGTTATAAACTTATGGAACTCTCTACTGCCATTTCTAGTCATCCATATTTGACTAACTATTACGTTGGATTTTTTGAGGCTATCTTAGAATATCTTGATCAATAAGTCCTTACAAAAGTCAACTTTTATCCAATCCTGAATTGTTAAGTCTCCATTGACATTTTTATAATTAAATGAAAAAATTGGAAATATAAAATTTTAAGGTCGTACCAAACACATTTATGTTCTTTTTCTATTTTTAGAATACAAATTTTGTGCAATTACTAAACGCGTTCTTTTGCTCAGAAACTCGTCTAATGAATAGTAATAGAAAAAATTATTTCTAAACAGATATTGTTCTACGCACCCTAACAAGTTGCCCTCTCAAAGCCAATGTGTTTGTTTCGTAGAAAATAAATGATTTAAAAAATACTTTCCTAAAAATGATCGCTTGTATTGCTTATAAAAATAAAAATTAATTAAAAAAATTTCATCATTCATGTAAATGTTGAGTCCTAACTTGTTGTCGATAATCAAAATATTTTTCAGTTACTAATTATTTTAAGCGAAACGAGTAATTATTTTAAAAAGATATCTTCCAAATAATTAATTTTCTAGCCTAAAAAATGAAAACCAACCAAAAGCCAGAAGTAACCGCGCACGCAAATAAAAATAAGGGAACAAAAATGTGAACGCTTTTGCACTTTTTCCGATTCACCATGAATAAGATCCCCAACCCCAACTTTCTCACTAATATAGAAAGAAAGATATTTCCAAGGGAAAAAAAAGCCCTTTTTTGCATACAAATTATGAATAATTCCATCCAATTAATATAAAATTATTATAAAATCATTACCATATAAAATACCATTCTCATGAAAATCCCTCTTTTTAGCAAGGATTATTATAAAAATGCTATACTCAGATCTCACGTCCGGATATGGCAAAAAAATCAGGGACTCTTACGAAAAGTGTCTACAATAATTTAAATAAATGTTGGCGCTACCTGCACGGGTAATTCACCAATTAGAAATTCTCGTCGGAAAAAGAAATTTCCTTTAATTAGCGACGGAGGACAGAATGAAAAAAAAAACGCAACCCCTCAATTACCTAAGTTCATAAAAAGCTAGGCCACACGAATTTACCAAAATATTAACTAACTAATTAATTAATCAATTTCAAAAAAAGGGGGAGAAATATCAATTTTGGTAATTTAAGATTCACCCAAAAAAAGGGGCCAAAAAAGGGGAAATGCGTTGGGGTAAACCTGCCTAAATCTGGCGGGCCCCCGCAACCGCCAGCTCAGCCGGCCAGCTGGTCAACGCTCCCCGAGTCGGCAGATTCCCAGCCGATAGCGGCCGTCCGATCGCTCGGGTCCCCGTGATTCGACGGGTCGGATTCACTGTGAGCTCACGAACGTTCCAGACCATGCATTGAATTTTCCTTTTTTTTTTTTTGCTTACGTGCCTATATTTACACTCGCGATTCCACTATTTATATTTCCGAGGAGATCCCCAAGATTCACTCAGATTCTTGAGGAACCGCATCGCTTCTCCCGCCGCCCTCCCCCGTCCACCTCTCCGCCGCCGCCCGCCGCCGCCGCCGCCGCCCACGCCGCCGTTCTCACCTGACCCAGGTACCGTTCACGATGGTTCGTTCGAACTCTCTCTCTCTCTCTCTCTCTCTCTTTCTTGCCCTAGTTTCTTGTTCCTCGCGAGAGAGGTTGCCCTCCTTCGGCGATGCGGCACGAGAGATTCGCTTCCGTTTGGCAGATCTCGTCGTCGTTTTTTCTTGATCCTTTCGCGTTCTTTCGATCCGGTTTCGTTGGTGGGTCGTGAAGCGGTCCCGCTCGTGGACGTGTTCCGTGTTGTCATCGGTGTGTGTGTGTGTGTACGATGATCCGTGCGTCTTGTTTTTCCCTTGTTTGTTGTTTTTACGAGGTCATGACGGGTTCCGTCTGTCGTGTTTCCTGATGGTCCAGGTCGAAAAATGGCGGGGGAGGCCGTACGCCGGAGAGGGTGCTGCTCGAAGCAGGACTTCCTCCCCGAGGAGTCCTTCGCGAGCTTCGGGAACTACATGAGGGCCCTCCGGGAGACGCCGGCCAGGCTGAGGGACCGGGTGGTGTCGCGGTCGCTGGACGCGACGGAGCTCCACGAGGTCAGGGCGCGGAGCCAGCACGAGATGAAGCGGACCCTCAACTGGTGGGACCTCATCTGGTTCGGCATCGGGGCCGTCATCGGCGCCGGCATCTTCGTCCTCACGGGCCTCGAGGCGAAGGAGACCGCCGGCCCGGCCGTGGTGATCTCCTACGTCGTCTCCGGCATCTCCGCCCTGCTCTCCGTCTTCTGCTACACCGAGTTCGCCGTGGAGATACCCTCGGCCGGTGAGTGTCGAAAACGAACGATTCCATCATCATTGTTTCCACGCTTCCTTGACAACGACTGTCACTAAATCTCTAAGATGAGCTTCATGATGTCTAGTGAGGACGCACTGTTTCCATTGAAAACGGTTGAATTTTTATGTAGTTTTTCTGGAGAGAGACCCATCAACATTGATGTGGACTGTCCAGTTCTTGAGGGCGTCCCAGGAATAAAAATTCGAAGAAAAATATGATCTTTGACTAAAAGATGAGATATTCCATGCATGTTTTGAACCGGAACTTCATACTTTTTTGTTTTATTTTTATGCCACTGACAATAAACCTGAGATTGGTATATTCAGGTGGATCATTTGCATACCTGAGAGTGGAGCTCGGCGACTTTGTGGCGTTCATTGCTGCGGGCAACATCCTCCTTGAGTACGTGATTGGCGGCGCCGCCGTCTCGCGCTCCTGGACGTCCTACTGCGCCACCCTTTTCAACCACAAGCCCACAGATTTCCTGATCAAGGCGCACGGCCTCGCCGAGGGCTACAACCAGCTCGACCCCATAGCTGTTGCCGTCTGCGCCGCGATCTGTGTCATCGCGGTACTAAGCACCAAGGGCTCGTCCATCTTTAACTCCATCGCCTCGGTCATCCACGTCGCGGTCATTCTCTTCATCATCATCGCGGGCCTGACCAAAGCCGACCCGAAGAACTACTCTGATTTCGCTCCTAATGGACCGCGCGGCATCTTCCAGGCTTCGGCAGTGCTCTTCTTCGCCTATGTTGGGTTTGACGCAGTCTCGACGATGGCCGAGGAGACCAAGAACCCAGCCCGGGACATACCCATTGGCTTAGTAGGCTCAATGGTCATCACAACCGCTTGCTATTGCCTGATGGCTGTAACACTCTGCCTCATGCAGCCTTACAAAGAGATCGACGAGAACGCGCCGTTCTCAGTTGCGTTCCAGGCTGTCGGGTGGAACTGGGCCAAGTACATTGTCGCCGCCGGCGCGCTGAAGGGCATGACGACCGTACTGCTAGTCAGTGCTGTCGGACAGGCTCGGTACCTTACGCACATGGCCCGGACCCACATGATGCCGCCCTGGTTCGCTCATGTTAACGAAAGGACGGGGACCCCGGTGAACGCCACTGTCACCATGCTCTCTGCGACAGCGGTCATAGCCTTCTTTACCAAGCTTGATATCCTGTCCAACCTCCTTTCCATCTCCACCCTGTTCATCTTCATGGTTGTGGCGGTCGCGCTCCTCGTCCGCCGCTACTACGTCAGTGGCACGACCACAACTGCAGACCGCAACAAGCTCGTTGCCTGCCTCGTCCTCATAATTGGGTCTTCTATTGCAACGGCCACTTACTGGGGCCTAAGTGAAGGTTGGATAGGATACGTGATCACGGTGCCCCTATGGTTAATAGGGACCGTGGCATTGAGGTTGTTCGTTCCTCATGCCCGCAATCCGAAACTGTGGGGAGTGCCTTTAGTCCCGTGGTTGCCGTCGGCCTCCATCGCCATCAACATCTTCCTACTCGGATCCATCGACAAGGATTCGTTCATGCGGTTCGCGATCTGGACTGGCTTTCTGTTGCTGTACTACTTCCTGTTCGGGTTACATGCAACGTATGACACCGCCAAGGAAGCTGCGGAGAGAAAGGATCAGGGGGAAATGCAGGTGAAGAGGATTGAAGAAGGAATTTGAGACAAGATGCACTGCAGTTTGGGTGTACATTTGAAAGAAAGTTCTAAGTTTACTTCATATTGATTCATGGTTTCTTTTCTAGAGATTATGTAGGTGGCATCCGTTGTATTGTTCATTTCTCGGATAACTGTTTGATAAAATAATATCTGAGAAGTGTTTTGTGATTATTTACAGAGAGATATATGACAATGATCAGGAAAGCAAAAAACATTTGGATCAACATTTCTTGTAGAAGTTTTACGACTTATGGAAAAATTAACTTGAACCATGATCCTAGACATGTTGCATGTGCAACGATTGTGAAATTGTTAGACCAACGTCCAATAATCGGCTGCCTTTGGTGAAGCCGGTGCATTCTCGACCATCATGCCATATTCCATCTAGGCATGTGATATCTATTGTGCTTCGAATACACCGTCGATCACCATACGAGTGATAACATTCCATCAAGGCGACCATCCTGTCCGCTTGTGTACTATACTACAGATACTAGCGGTCTGTCCCCGCCCGTCGATTATGACCTAACCGGTTTGATTGACCGCGTCTGGATCATGAATTGCCGTTTCTAGCAAGTTTTCGCACCAGTCCGATCCTAATAGCACTAGCAAGAAGCGGTGAAGAAGAGAAATTCCACACTGAGATGAAGCATCTACATTGCCATACGAGCAAAGATACGCGATCGATACGGGTTCGTGACCACACTACAGAAGCCAGAATATAGAAGCCTGAGGAAGATGGGAGAGTTGCATTAACAGGCATTAGGATAGATAAACATACCAAAAAGCACGGATTTATCTGCCCATGGGCGCAATTTGAATGGCGAAGTTTCTTGCTATGTTCAATACATAGCGAGTATGGGAAGGCTACAAATGAGCAAAGTTGTCAAATCTGGTACACTGTTGAGGAGATTGAGCTTTAGATAAACCATGTAAAATTGATTGAAGTGGAACAACCAAAGGCAAGAATTTTATGGGAAAAGGCTGTAACGAAAGCAAAGGGTCTTTATCCGTCCAAAGATAAGTTTTTCTTGTGTTAACCACGCCTTTCCTTCAGCTTCTCGATCTTACCGGTTGAATTTCCATTGTTCCGGCTGACAGATTTCTCTTCGGCGCTGCACATCTGAGACTTTATCTTGAACCCGAATTTCTTCGTCCACATGCTTGAACTCTTCGCCTGACCCAACTTCTCGATCTCCCGTTTCATCTCAGAGCATTCCTTCTCGAGCTCAAACACCCGCATTCTCATGCTGTCCATCCCGATTTTCAGGACCTGGTTTTCGCTCACGGCTGTATCCCACCCTCCTTCGGCTGGCCCACCAAACCCACCCCTCAACTGCCTTGATCCCTCAAGATTTTCTGATACTAAAAAGCACCCGGCGATCGAAGTCCTAAGCTGAAGCTGCTCGAAGAATAGTACTTGGACCACTATTCTTAAAGGCAACCTTTCATTCTGTGCGGCGTGAGTGCAAGCTTCAAGGGACAACTTCTGGCAGTCCATCAGCCTGCAAAGTTCCTCCTTATCGGACTCTGCTAGCCATGGATGTGACTGCAGAATGGGAACATTGCATAAGAAACATAAACGAAAAGACTATATAGCAATAATGAAGATGTAGTGCGTGGAAATGCCATCTGGATTTTACGACCCAAGAGCATATTTCGTCATCATATGAAAAGGAAATACGAGATAAGTTGGTCCACTATCAACAAATAAATAAACGCAAAAAGAAAGAGGACGAAAGCGAAAAGGAAACCCTGGAAACTATGGACAAAAACAAACACTTTAATTCAGACCGGTCCATACCAGGTTCACACAAGTAGACCCGCATACTAGGGTGCAGGTTCTACGAGACCAGAACCAAATATTAATATTTGTTGAGGGCATTATGATTAGTCGGAAACTCTTTAAGATTCTTATCAATAGTCAGTCACTATCCATCTTCTGTTCTCTTCATCGACATGCAGCTAGAGAAGACAAGACAAGAATAACTTCCAACTCTTTATTAGACAGACTTACCTTGAGGTAGATATCTATTGCACGATAAAGACCATCATCTAAGGGTCTGGCAAAATCAGGAACAGCAGCAGCAAGAGCCTGGAACTTGGGGAGCTTCAAGTTAATGTCAGGGGCAACCTCTGCGAGATAGCCATCGATAAGTTTCGCGACAATTGTAATAGGAGTCAGTGAAGGCGATCCAATCAGCTCGCCATTGTCCTCCGAACATGGAGAGGCCCCACCAGTAGCTTGATCCATGACGAGGAAGTGTTCAAGAATCCGCTGCACGCAGTCCACGTTATAGAGTGTCTCTGTCGAATGACATAGATTGGGCATTAAAAGATCTTCAAGAGTAGCTTCATCAAGCTGCATCCCGATTCTTCTCTCCAAATTTGATACGCAAGAGGGGCTTACTTGAAGAATCACACCGGTTCGGAGTAGACCAAACAAGAACTTAGTTGATACTAGGCTTTTCTGCATAGGAAGTAACCGATCAATATCTTCCACTAAGCTCTTCTGGTCCACTTCGGAAGGTAGAGCCGCCGGACCAACAGCAGACAGGTTAGAACTAGACTCGGTAATACCCCGACGCCTGTTCAGGCCAGGGAGGTACTTTTTGGCATAGAAAGAAAGTGATCCGGCGATTATTTCTGGTTTGATGCCACGAGATTCCATTACTGAAATCAACATTTTGTACAGAGCAAAACTCAAAACCGTCACATCCTCGTACCACCAATCTGAACTTAGATTCTTAGGCCTCGCGCCAGTGCTTATCCCGTTCCATAAAAGACCGCCACCTGGACTCTGCAAAGGTCCGCCATGCTCCATGATAGGCCATCCAAATAGATTAGGGTCAGTCGATGCTTTGATGGCCAGTGACTCAATGCAGCGTTTAGTGATGTTGAGTTCGTCAGCATAAGAAATAAGATCAACACAGGTCAGGAGTGCCTTTAGGGAATCTTTCCAGCTTCTAAGGACTACTTGGTTAAGGAAATTGTCAGTCTTCATAATAAGATTACCCTCCCCAAGCTCCTCGGTCATTTCAAGATGCTCGGCTGCACATCTGAGGTGCACGACATTCGAGGCAGTAAGTTCAAGTTTCATCCCGTAACAGAATTTAGCTATAAGTTCGAATGTCTTGGCACCACCAGGAATATCCGAAAGGACTAGGGAACATTTTTCTTCCCCCTCTTCAGATGCCTCTGTAATCATTCTTTCCATGACCGCACTTCTAGAGAGCAGTGGAAACTGCAAATAAGAGGTTTAAGAAGTTGTTCTTGAAACATAATCAAGATATAGAAAGAATGTAGTTAAACATAATGGAAAAGGCCTGTTTGAAGCAGAGTTACGTAAATTGCTAACAAGACATTTCCTAGACTACTCGGATGGTATCCCTCTGAAGTCCCATATACTTCCACCGTAGACAACATGAGCTATGTGGAACTTCTGCATTATTTTATCCATTCATTATGTGAGAGAATATGTCAAAATAGCGCTCAAGTAAAGCTACAGAAAGGAAGACAAGGACGAGCTAAATCATTGTGTTGCCTACTCTTTGCAGTGAATTTAAAGCACAGTTACGCCAATTTCCTTGTTTTCGGTCAGAACAAGGTAAAATCTTGCGCCAAGAAGTCAGAACCCAATCCCATCATGAATTCTGAAGAGCGTTGCTATATCATACATAGGCACCCTTCACAGAGGCCCTTATTGGTGCCTCATATTTCAATGGTATGCTAGAAGCTTGCGGCGGTTTTATTCCAGACAAGATCTCACACCCTCTCGGTTTGCCTATTCATGACCTCAACAAGAATAAAACCTCGTATAGAATGAATAAGACCAACTATAATTGTATAAGAAATCGTGCTTATCGTCTCTTCTTTCAGATGACTGAATCAACAGATGCATGTTGAAAAACCAAAAGGAGAGGTAAAGGCTTGTACATCATACCAGGTAAAAATTAATGCTGAACATGTTCTTTACAGAAATGATGGGCAAATTTTTAACATAAAACTTATTGACTAGTATTTCTTACTTATATGCTCATTTCATGAGTTCCTTGCACTAAATATGCAGTCCACACATCTAATGAAATACTGAATAGATAATCATATCGGCAAGGACCGTCACCTTGTGAAGATGAAAGGACATTTCTCCAACCTCAACAACAAGATCGCTAGGAAGGCCAGTTGTGCAGAACCTATGAGCATTCAGAGACAGAGACGTACGATATATTAGAAAATATCAACTCTATATAATCAGATTCAAGTTCCAATACAAAATGCACACAGAATGTGCTGGCCGGACCAAAACATTTTAAAAGATCCAATTAAGAAAACGGATGTTTTTCATCTCCTGTTACAGAAAGAACTCCCCTTCTAGTCTGCTTTCAATGTCATGATAATATGAGTGAGAGTTTTCAAGTTCCTATTCATCTAGAGTAACAAGGTCCTTGAACTTTAGCAACTAATATGGATTTCAAGTTGTTGGACAACTCTTCTTAAGAATTTAAAGTTCCATTCCTCTCGAGGCTGCAGGTTGTGATCTGCATTGGTGACCTCTGAAAAACGGAAAAGTACAAAAAGAAAGATGACTGAAGAAACACAGGAAACTGCTTGATCTCTGAATGGAGCATCTGATATTGACAAGGCAATTACAAGTCAGATGGCCAAAAACGGATGATAGAACAATCCTGGAGGAGGAGTGGAGAATTCATACAAATTAATACGAGGTCACAAGATCCAGAAGCATCCTGAGCAAAGAGGCAGGTTCATATTTCCATTTCAGTATCAATAAGCTGTTTTACCTCAGCAGCGACATTAGGGCAGAATCTGAGCAGTGTCTAAAAATACCCCAGTCCCAAAGACATGGCATTAAGCCATACAGACAAACTATCTTACGAATACTTAAACCAAATGTAAGACTGTGGTCGAAGAACTTTCACAATGTGATGTTTTCTTGGTTCTGGAACTTAGGGTCATTTCAAAATTGTCATAATGAGAAAGGTCCTTTGGGTGAATTAATGCATAAGATCAGCAGAGAAAGTGGAGCATATCTAGAAGCAGCAACTAAATAGGCAGTTGGAAGTCACTAAGATCAATCCAGGGCATCCCCTGCTACTCTGAAGAACAAGAGGGCAAACCTGAACATCAATCAACTTTTGACACTGATGGCTTCAGAATTTTGTTTTCCGTAATCATTGCGGTAAAAATAACGATTCCCGTGATGTTGAAACAGCTAGATTTAACTCTAAAGATGAGTTAATTGGGGTAAAAATTACATCTCAAGTGAAGTTGAAATAGCTTGCTTTACCTCAAGAGATATTAAGTTTTGAAGTAAAAGATGACTAGGTTGAACACAGAATAAGAGCTGGTCCTGTCAATAAAAAATGAATAGGCCAAGATCTCCAGAGTGATGTTCAGGAAAACAATACATAGATATGCTTTTCCTGACGTGGCTTGGACATAAATGTACATCCAAACACCCGCAATGAAAATCAACTTTCCATAAATTGCATGTCTTTACTCAGTCTTGGAGTTACTTAGGATGTACACCAACTTAAGGCTACGATCTCAGCAATCCCATTTAACTTTTCAATTTGACTAAACACCTTGGCCACAACTAATTATTGTTAAAGTTATCTGGTTCGAGAAACTTGACTGCACACACTCATGAATATCTCAGATATAACCACACTATAATTGTGACCTCCGCATCCACAACGCTAACTAGAACTCACTCCACTATCCTGCAAGGGCTACCTGAACTGATATCTGCACTCTATTATGCACAGTCCAGTACAGAACCATTGCAAGATTAGGAGCTTATCTTTTCACTATTGTAAACAAAAAAAAGAATTGTGCACAGGAAAATGATCCTCATAAACAGTTGGATTATTGCAACTTATAACCTAAAGTTTTTACCTTGTGACCTAAGCAGCAGGATGCAAATGATTTAAGTGCATCTGACTAGGTAATTTCAAATTGAACTCCGGCAAAAGAAGTCCCGAACTTTCCATATGATTTCATATTCAGGTTTCCAAAGTATTGGAGGAGAAGTGAAACAAAGCTTGCCTAGCTCAAATTGACAACTCACGGGACTACTGGCTGTGAAAATTCAAGCAAAAAATAAGGGTCGGATGTACCAGTCAGACTGAAAAAAATAAAATATAAGTGTAGTGTTTCCAAGCTTCACAGGGGTCTACGAACCAAATTTCTCTAATCAAACCAGCAGATTGCAATGGCAAACAACACCACATTCCAAATTGTCAACACCCATCTAAAATACCAGACAGGCATTACGAATCATAGCAAAACCGAAATGGCAAATTGAAGAGGCACATACCAAGCCTGCCCTTGGCGTTGGAATGCATCACTTTTGGATCCCAACTTCACGCAGGCCATTTCTCCCAACAAATCCAAATCCCTATACCAATCAGTGTAAACCCAATCTGTGCTGTACCCCACAAGAATCTGTCCTCAACACCGCTCCCAAATAAAAAAACCACCCAGGAAATGCAGCTTCTCCGGAGACCCTTTTCCAGCCACAGAGCAGCTCCAGAAAAGGCATAAACTCACTTACTAGACAAGCAGAACTCTACCAAATTTACCAGCAAATCCAACAAACTCAAAATGCCCACCAAGCAACTCCACTCACAGACTCCTACCACCCCTTCTTCACCAGATGCCCGAGTCTCGTTCCGAACCCAATGCACATTACCTCCGGCGCTCAGACGGCAAATCTAGGTCAACCCCACTTCCCCCCGCAGGACACATCTCTGCTCCAAGAAACCCACCGAACCACTCTTGGAATTTCGGCAAGCCAGCCAAAGTTGCTATCCTTAAATTAATGTCCTAAGACCACCAAGAAGATTCCAAAGCTCGGACTCGCACAGAACAAAAAAGGGGGGGAGGGGGGGCCAGACCCATTAAAGAAAAGACGCTAATCCAGCACGGAGGGCGCTTCTTCTCCGCCACCGGCGACTAAAAAATACTCAGCTACGACTTCGAAGGCTAATCATGCACGGGGCCGAAAAAGACAGGCAGGAACGCTCGGGAAGCTCGAAACAGTCGTTTTTTTAATGGGCCTGCTCCCAAAGCAAGCAACCTCCCCACCTGACTGACGCATTACGTGCATGTGGGGTCGATCGCTTGGGGCACACTCATTGCATTTTTTGTGGAGCAGCAGCAGCAGCAGCGCGAGGTTTGATGCGTTAAAGCGAGACCGAAGTGCAGTGACCCGTCGAGAGAAAATATACTGTGCAATTGATGAAATCTTTTATTTCTCTCCTTTAATCTTCCAGCTGGTTTCTTTCTTAAGCTAACAACGGGCATCTGCTTTTTTTTACAGGGAGGCCATGTGGGGATGCGTTACGAGGGCCTGCTTTGCTCCCTGCATTCAATGGGGGGCGTTCGAGGCTCGGTGAAAGCGACCTGTTTTCTTTGGTTGGGGAGATTTCCACATGGTGGAAATGAGTGAAATGTAAAATGGAAAAAGAAATCGTTTTCCGGGCGATCGAGTATGAGTAGGGGGTGTGAACGAGTCGGGATGGGATTGGGCTCGGCCCGGACACATCGCGCCTGCTCTCATGTGCCCGAGGGCTGGCTCCGGCCGAAGGTGATTGAGGTCGTTTATGTGCATAGCTCGAATCTATCCTGTTGTTGTGTCTATGCCCACTTCTTCGTATTCCAGAACCCTAACACCTTATTGTCTATTAGCACTTTTTACCGCTTAATTGTAAATTTCGTCTCTTTTTATGGCTTCTCCAGGGATTTTCGGGTTCTTATGAATTTTCATTTTAGATACCCTTTTATTATTTGATTAAGTTCGTGCATGTCCGAGCCTTCAGGCTTCTTGATCTTAAAGCTCGAGAACCTAGTCGAGCCTGAAATTAAGAAGGGGGAAAAAACCATCAATTTAGGGCCCAAAAGCGCAGACCGATCCCGGACCCGGATCGGGGTAGGGCGAGCCGACACGAGCCGGACCGGGCTTCCGATCCCCGGTCTATTTTCGAGTAACCCTAGTTTGGATAGTGAGTGAGGTTCAAGGAAAGGTACTCCTGAGCATTCCAGCATGATTTTGAGATGAAACTTTGGGACATGGTTTGAAGGTCAATTTTGAAGAAGGCATTATTGGGCTTTGGGCTCACCATCGCTGGGCCCAATGGTCATTGCCGGGGTGGGGTTGGCGCTTTACGTCAGTGAGGTCTGGGATCAAAATCAAACAAAGATATAGCAAAGTGGAAACAGAGAAAAAAAAGAAGGAAAATGAACTAAAATCATAAAATTGTGACAGATATTTATGTATACTAAAATGTTGAAAATTAAATCGTAGGGTGTTTTTGTTTGAGTGAAAGAATCATCCGCGAATTACGAAAATGAATTTCCTAACTTGAAAAGGGGAAATCATTCCCCTTTACATGAAGTTTTTCCGTAAACAAACACACCCATAATAAACGTTACTATAGGGGAGAAAAAAATTCACTTGGAATTTACAAATTTAACGAGGCTCTACTTCAAGACATTTGCATGGAAGAAATTTTTTAGAATTGTTGAAGATGACATGGTGCAAAACATGTTGACCCGTCGTTTGAGTTGGCAAAAAGCAATAAGACTTGCCCATTTCAAGCAATAGGCTACGTATATAGATAGAATACATGTCTCAATGGTAACTTTCTCACTAATGGCCTTCGATGGCCCTTAGGGATGGTTGGAAAAAAAAAGTTGAAAAAGGCAAATTTTTAAAAAAATAAGACAGAAAAATAGCAATCAAAGTGAATTTCATTGGCATTCTATAAAATTAAATCAAACTGAAAAAAGAAAGCTATTGGAAAGTTATATAATTGCTTTAGTGTAGGAAATATGTATAAAAATTAAATGAAGATGTTTTTAAATGCCAATTAACTTTTAATTGACGGTTTAAATTGTGGAATTAGCGGGAGAAAGAAAAGTAAAGTCAACACTCAATTTGGTAATTAAGTAGATTATTAATTTTAGCTGAGGTGGTATCTAGGTGATGGCTATTTTTGTGGTGAACGTATCAAAACCTTCTCTTGTAATGAGGAGAGGGTCATTGGAGCAATATCCATTCCTAGGTGAGACACTTAGAGGCAACATTTAAAAAAAATATATTTTGCTATAATATATTTATTTGTGAGATAATACCGCAATATGATTCAAAGTGGTGTATATATATTACCTCCATGATTTACATCATTGCACAATGAATGTTATTACTTATAGTGAACTATCTCGAGTTTCTCTTCAAGAATTTAATTTCGCTATAATATATTTACTAACGAAGAGCTTCTTATTTTTGGGATAATTGATCCTTCGTCTTGCAATTATTTCAAAAGAATATACAACAAGTACAAGTAACAGGGCCATCGAGTGTAACAGCTACTAATCTTTCCCAACTCACTCTAATGCCACACTCATTCACAGAACAACAAAAACGCCCCATATGCACAAAAGTACCAAGTGAGACCCCAAGCTTCACAAGTTTGTCTATGACAGCAAAACTTTGGACTCAACACTCTTACAACCACTAAGCCTCAATCTCACAGTGGTAACAATACTTCTAGTGTAACGACCCGGTCTGAAGAGAGCAGGGAGTGATTGCCGGCGCGAGAGGGTCTGGACAAGGACGTGCTCTCATCAGGCTTCCAGAAAGGCGAAGGTGGCAGGAATGAACAAAATTGCGCACCAAATAAGGAGAGAGCGTTCCTGAATTATATATGTGAAACTGGAAGTAATTTACAAAATGCGCCTTTCGACGTAACAATAGCGTTTAGAATTGGAACTCCAATGTTAATCCAGGGGTGTCTGATTTAGAGTTTTCTTTAGCATCAATCCAGTAATTCTCATCATGCAGCCTTTAATTCCTAGCAGCCCACAACTGATGAATAGCTGCGTACCGAGAGATCTTCAAAAGTAATGCAGGGAAAGATTTTCTTTTGGCAGCATATTTAAACCAGTGAAATTCAGTAGTCCAAGCAGCTGGGGCCTTGAAACTCCAGAATCGTTGTCCATACTAGTGCAGAAAAGTAGCACTCATGAAACAGATGGTCTCTACTTTTATCACGTAGTCCACAAAGCAAGCAGGTAGTAGAGGGCAGAGAACACAATTTAGAGAGCTTGTCACGAGTGGCAAGTATGTTTAAGATCAATAACCAAGTGATGAAATAGTGTTTAGAAATACAAGGACTAAACCAAACACAACTGTGCCATTCGACGTGTGGCCCCTTTTCTCAAATAGCATTCCAGGCACAAACTACAATATGAATTCCAGAGGAGCAAGGAGTCCAGATCAACTGATGAGCAACAGAGGGTCTAGGAGCCAGTTTCTCAAGCAAAGCAACTTGCAGCTGAACAAGATCTTCAGATCTAGCCAAGGGCCAATTCCAACCATGCTCACCTAGAAACCTTACAATCAATGCTCAAACCAGAGTCATGCACAACTCTTCTAGGAAATCTGTCAAGAAGTGGCCCAAAAGGGTGTCAAGAATTATACCATAAAAAGATGGAATCAACATTATCCAGATTATACTTCAAAAGGTTCTTGGCAACACCTCGAAGTTAGTTAACCTTTTCCAGCTATAGGAAGAGTTAATAGGCAATTTCATAGACCAAAGTTGAATGAAGAGCTCCATTGAAGAGAAATCAAAATTCATAATATATATATATATATATATATATATATATATATATATATATATATATTGGTGAAATAATTGATATCAATGTGAAAAGGTACAATTAGAATGACATTTCAATTATAAGAATTTAAAAACCATACAAAGAGCTTAGAAAATTGTCAGGCTGACAGCAATAACAGCTTGTAATAATGCTTGAAACGACCTTTGTGCGAATCTGGGAAGAAATGATGGTGAAGTAGAAATCTAAATTTCATTTAATTGAGGTTGGCCCCGTTAACCTTTTTTCTCTTTTTGACAAACTTTGATTTGAAAGCCGATTCTATACTTTAAATTGATGATACGACCATGTCAACATAAGAAGCCATCTCATTTAATAAGAAATTCTTTGTAAAGTCTTACTATGTGTAGCATTACTCGTATACAAATTGATGTCAAATACTCTCAAGACTCATCGACAAAATCTAAATTACAAAGTGAGATCAATTGCTAGGATCTATTGTGCGACATCCAACGTCTGAGCTTGGTCCCGTTTAACTCAGAAACTAAGTGGGACCGATGTTGATTTGGTTGACCGCGGAGCAATCCTCCCTCCAACTAACGATCTTCCCAAATTTTAAACTTTTCTCATCTAACTTTGTGTTGGGTTAAATCTCTGCCATGCATGATGCTCTTCCAACTCCCAAAGTCCACCATCTTTAACTGCTTTTGCGTGGAAGAAGTGCGTGCAGACTGTTTGGTTACTAAACAAGTCTTCATGCCTGTTCAGCAAGCATGTCATTGTTGAATTTGATGCTTTGTTTTCTAGTTAGAGTATCCCAGTTCTTCCTTCTTGTCCCATTAAACTTGAGTGTTGTTTTCTAGTTAGAGTATCCCAGTTCTTCCTTCTTGTCCCATTAAATTTGAGCGTCTTGTCCCTTCAACCGACATTCTTCCACAGCATCATTAGCCGACCCTTCTTCAATCGACAACTAAAGTATATGGTGAGTGTGAGTCCCCCGCCGCAATCCCCGAGAAGGTGCAGAATAATTCAATAGTTCTCCATTAAGTTCGACGCCACAGCTCACTAGGGGTGAGGAACCGGGACTGGACCAGGAGAACCGATTCCCAAATTGGGAACCGGGGACCGGATCGATTGGTCTTAAGACCGGGAATCGGTCACTCGTTTTTTTCTAATTATTTGATACCATATATTTTGAAACTAGAATTGTGTTTCCTGTACCGACTACATACACATATATTCTAAAATTAAAATTGTATTTCCCATGCCGACTACACATAATAACAAAAAAAAGTATACGTAGTCAGTCCGATTCGGTCTAATTCCCCTTGAAACCGAGAACCGGACCGACACTCTCGGGAACCAGACCAAACCGATCGGTCTATTCCGGTCCCGGCGGTTCCCGATT